GTTTCCCCACAGGCCATCCCGATCGCAGCCGTCCCGCCGTGGCCATGGCGAGCCGCGGGGCCCAGCGGCCCAACGGGCACTCCCAGCCCAGTAAAATCTGCCAGTTCAAACTGGTGCTGCTGGGAGAATCGGCCGTGGGCAAATCCAGCCTGGTGCTGCGCTTCGTCAAGGGCCAGTTCCACGAGTACCAGGAGAGCACCATCGGCGGTGAGCGCCCCAAAGGGTTTGGGGGAAATTTGGGGTTCCCACAGGGTTTTGGGGGGGATTTGGGGTGCGGTGAGCGCACCCAAAAGGATTTGGGGAAAATCTGGGGTGGGATTTGAGGTGTGGTGAGTGCACCCAAAAGGATTTGGGGGAAATCTGGGGTGGGATTTGGGGTGTGGTGAGCACACCCAAAAGGATTTGGGGGAAATTTGGCATGGGATTTGGGGTGTGGTGAGTGCGCCCAAAAGGATTTGGGGGAAATGTGGGGTGGGATTTGGGGTGTGGTGAGTGCACCCAAAAGGCTTTGGGGGAAATCTGGGATGGGATTTGGGGTGTGGTGAGTGCACCCCTAAGGCTTTGGGGGAAATTTGGGGTTCCCACAGGGTTTGGGTGGGATTTGGGGTGTGATGAGTACACCCCAAAGGATTTGGGGGAAATCTGGCGTTCCCACAGGGTTTGGGATGGGATTTGGGGTGTGGTGAGTGCACCCAAAAGGATTTGGGGGAAATGTGGGGTGGGATTTGGGGTGTGGTGAGTGCACCCCAAAAGGATTTGGGGGAAATTTGGGGTTCCCACAGGGTTTGGGTGGGATTTGGGGTGTGGTGAGTGTACCCCAAAGGGTTTGGGGGAAATTTGGAGTTCCCACAGGGTTTGGGTGGGATTTGGGATGTGGTGAGTGCACCCCAAAGGGTTTGGGGGAAATCTGGGGTGGGATTTGAGGTGTGGTGAGTGCACCCAAAAGGATTTGGGGGAAATTTGGGGTGGGATTTGGGGTGTGGTGAGTGCACCCCAAAGGGTTTGGGGGAAATTTGGGGTTCCCACAGG